GCACTTTACACTTATTTTCCTCACTTCACCCAGGTGGGAATGGGTACCCGGCTATAGACAGCGAAAGATCTTGTCAGTATGTTAGTGTTTTAGCGCCTATAAATGGCTGCTTGCACTGTATGCTTCCAAGGAAGTTGAGTTTGTTTCAGAATGCTCTCAGGTCTGCTGGGGTAATAGCATAGATTGTAAAGCGTATAGAGCTTGCTGTTGAGCGGGGATTTGCGCTATACAAATAAATGTTATCTATTATTATTATTTTTAAAGTTACCAGTACTCAAAAATAAATCACCGATGACGATGTCCTCTATCTATGTGAGGGACTTTTCTCACCGTGTGTGACATTGGGGAAAAACAAACTATGTGTGTAAACAGTTTCTCAAAACTGCACAAAGTCAGGCCCAGACCGAGATTTGAACCAACGACTCAAAGCCCAGCGCCTTACCATTTGACTACCGATGCCACCTTAAATGTGAGGCAGCGTGGTGGAATCAGGCTCTCGTCAAAATAATCAAAATGAAAAAAACTTGCATTTTTCCGCAGGTTTGTGAATTATTATTAAATTTTTGTTTTTTTGACTCAACACCTTTCATGCCCATTAGAGAACTAATTTCTGTGTGGATTTTTCTGAAAAACGTTGATTAAAGACACAGAAAATGTAGATTTTCAGTTACCACGGTCTCTAAGCTAAGGAAATAACTAACCTTTAGCGGCCATTTTCTGACTTATTTTACATCTGAAAAACAGGTGACCCCCACCTCCTTCTTTCGTAAATATCTCGACTTGTATTCAAGATACGATAAATGGATACTTTTTTCATCCAAATAAAGACAAGTGAACACGCTTTAAGATGATACCAATAACTCTACATGCCCAAAAACTGACGAGAGCCTGATTCCACCACGCTGCCTCACAAATGTACTAAACGATTCTGTTCGGATTAATTGTTGAGAACTCCTGATTTGTATAAACGTATGAGCCACAAGTAATGATTTCGAATAAAAAGCAGAAGCGTATTCACATGTATTCAAACAACCGTGATCAGATAAGGCCAGGATAAGTCAAGGCGGGCATGTTTAAACAATAGAGCTGCCATACATCCAACCGTCGACAAATGGCTTCAATAAATACAAGTAAAGTAATGCAATGCTATAGGAATTAATAGGCCTACTGAGTGACACGTATCTATGGTATGAAGGCAAGGGTACTTCTTGAAGGGGAGACAGTCACGAGAGAAACTAACTTCCCATTTTTCTTTCATTTTCCCCCTTTTTGTAAGAATTTCACGACAATTGCAACCCAATCTAGATAATATTGTGCCGAAGATTAGAGGTAGTAATGCAGAATAACATTCAAAGAAAAGAAGGAGGGGCAATATGGACGACAGCCTTACGCCGTGTTTTACTATCGTATCCATACGACGTGGGGAACTCTGTGCCACCACTTAACCCTATCCAC